AATGAGCAAAATTGTGGAAGTTGGATGGCTTGCAAACAAAGGATGAGAAGAAGGAGGTGGTAGGAGGGAGGGTGGGTCCCAGCATTGGTGTAGACCACTAGGGCTAGAGTAGACAAAAATCAGCGAAAATTATCTGGGAGTATGTACATGAATACACAAGGGCTTTTTAAAAACAGGGTGTCTAGCTCTGGCCAGTGTGGCTCAGTTGGAGCATCATCCTATAGTCTAAAGACTGCAGGTTCAATTCCTGGGCAGGGCACAAGCCTAGGTTGTGGGTTCTATCCCCTGTCTGCAGTGCGTATGGGAGGCAACAAATTGAAGCTTCTCTCTCAAATTGATGTTTCTCAAAAAAGAAAAAAAAAAGACAATGAAAAAATGTCCTCAGGTCAGGCTGATTAAAAATAAAAACAGGGTATCTAATTTTAAATTTTCAGTCGCATGTTGGGCCCTTGCTCCAAATTATCAGCCAAGTGTGCTACATGCACAGCATGGAATGGTAGAAATTTTGGAGTGAAAGCTTATTGACTGGGTACAGTTACAGAGGGAACAAAAGCAGGTGGGAGATTCAGAAATCAGCACAACTCAGGAGTGCTTAGCAGAATCTAAGCTCCCTAAGAATTCCTGAGTTTGTTAGTAGGGATGCTGGGAATTCTACTGTAATAGGAGACACCTGGCTGGGTCCTTTTACTTAAAGCTTAAGAGGCAAGGTGCTCTCAGCAAGTTGAATGAGGTGGGAGATATTCAAGAGACTGACATCTGGGGCATCTATATCATTCATTTTCCAATGGATTCTCATCTATCTCCATGAGGTAGAAAGTGGCCTGATCGTTCCCAGTTTTTATGCCTCATCTCATCATGATCTTCTTTGCTCCAACCATAACGCCCTTCTCATTTGTTCTTTTGCTGGTCAGGCTAAATCCTCACTGAAGGACCTGGAATGGCCAAAGGTTCAGGGCCAGCTCCCTCTCACTACTAAGGCCTGGCTCAAAACTTACCTCTTCAGAGGCCTTGCCTGCCCACCTAAGTCCTACCACAATACCCTGCTTTATGTCTTTTATAGAACTAATCAGCAGGTTCAATTCTCTTGACTATTGATTTGTTTAATGGCTTATCATGAATCTTCTCTTGAAGGTAAACTCTGTGCCATGCAAACTGAAACCTGGTCTATCTCTCTTCTTGCTCTATAACCCTAGAGCCCAGCGTCGCACCTGGCCTAGCACACAGGTGCTCCAGAAATATCTGCTTATGTCCTACTTGACAAATATTACACCTACTGTGTGTAAGATCCTGTGTACAAAGTTGGGCGCAACAGCCCCAGACCCAGCCCTCCGAGACCCTGTGGGTTAATGGAGGGTACAGGCAAGTTAGCAGGCTCCTGAGATGCAGGGGTAAATGCTGTCAGAGGGGAGGTACAGGGTGCAGCGTTGGTTCCTAGTGCAGATAGGGAGGGCGTGGTCTTAGTGAAGGCCTCTGGAGAAAATGAAAGCCGAGGCATGAGGCTAAATAAGAGTTGACTGAGGGGAAGGGAGAGGGTGACGCCTATTCCAGGCAGAGAGAACAGCATGTGCAGAGGCTTGGTGGGAAGAGAGCCCAGACATTAGAGGAATTGAAAGTAGTTCAACCTGGATAGATCCTGGCAGCAAGTGGAGAGGGATGATGCCGAAAACACAGGCAGAGCCAGGCTGTGGACCTTGTAAACTGAGCTAAGGAGTTGAGGAAGAGCACTGGGAGGCCATAAATGGGATTTGAGCAGGGGAGCGGCACCATCAGATTTGTAAACATTAGCTCACCGTGGTATGAGGAATGGGTTGGGAGACAGGAAGACAGTGAAGACGACAGGAAGGGGTGACAGGGGAGTGGCGCTGTCAAATTTGTAAGCATGAGACAGGAAGACAGTGAAGAAGCCATGGTAATGTGCTGGCGAAAATGGGGTCCTTTCACATAGTCACAAGAAAAGCATTCTGGGGACCCGTATATGGGAGGATGAGGTAAGATTTACTGTGGTTGAAATGGAAGGCTGCCTCTGGTTCCCAATGTCTCATAGCCGTCTGTCCTGCTGTGAAAAAAGTCCAACGTTGTCTTTATCAAGAAAAGTACAAAGACCAGAGTCCAAAAATTCTGTGCCATTTGTTCAATCCATATTGTCCCTGCACGGCTAGCATAGTCTGTTCTCCTGGCTGTGCTCCATTGCTGTCCCGAGGTTTGCACTTGGAGTCAAAGTGTGGGGATGGAGAGAAGAGCACAGATTCCCGCAGGATTTGGGAAACAGAATCAATAGGGTTTAATGATTGATTAGGTTTCTTTTGAGGGGGATTGCTGGGGTTAATACTCAGGTTTCTAGCTTAAGATAGTGGTTGGTAGTGATACTTACTAAACAGGGAAATCCACATTTAAGTGTTGGTGACAAAATTCTCAGTGGGACAGGTTGAGTTTTAGGAGACTACAGGGTACTCAAGTCATCATTGTATTATTCTATGAGTTTCTCAAGGGCAAAAGCCCTGTCTTCTTTATTTGCGTGCTCCCAATCCCGCTAAGCCCTCACACATAGAACACCAAATGTGCTGAATAAAACAGTGACCAGAACCAGCCTTAATAACTGGCTGGAAGACAGGTTTCATGTAACCCCAGAGGGAAAGTTTCAGTCAGGATAGGCTAGGTTAGGCTGCTCTGATAAACAACCCCCAATAGCAGTAGTTTACAACAGCAAAGATTTATTTCTCACTCACTCTCTAGGTCCATCCTGAGTCAATGAAGACTTTGCTCCAGGTGGCACTCTCTTAGGGCCACAGATTGATGGAACCTCTGGCGCCTGGAATGTTACCGGTCACCTTGAAGGAAGGGAATTTGACAATTGTGTTTGGACTCTTGAAGGCTCCTGCCCGGGGAGATACTTCCACTCACATTTCATTGGCCAAAGCGTGTCACAGGGCCACACCTCACTTCAAGAGGGCAGGGAAATGCAAAGCTACAATGTCCTGGGATGGGGAAGAACTGGATATGTTGGGGACCAGTATCAGTGGGCATCGAGAATCTGAGGTTCTAGTTCTGCATCCGCTGTACAAATGTGGACAAGTCATTTCTCCTCTCTGAGCCTCAGTTTTCCCTGTTGGTTAAAAGGGACAATACTCCTTTCCTCACAGAGCTGCTACGAGGGTCGAATAAGAGACCATCAATGAAAGCACTTTGTTTAGATGGGAAAGGGGACTCAAGGGGTAGGAAAGCCGCGATACTTCTGAGGACAAAGGAGAGGCACATTCAAACGTGGGTATGGCTAGAGTGGCTATGACCACAAGCTAAGCAGCACCTGAGTATGCTGTGCTCAGATCTGGGTGTTATGGAGTGGCTAGAACATCCCTGTCCAACTCCCTGAATTCTTAAGCATTTTCATTCTTTTTTTTTCCTTCAGCTCTCATCTCTCCAATGAGAATAGGTCTCAGAGAGCTCCTTAACAAATAGAGACAAAGCTGTTTCTGCCAAGAGCAGATGGAGTTTGGAGCTAAAGTGTCTGCCTCCCTCTTGGCTGGGAGCCAGGACCCAGGTTTAGAGCCTGTGGGAGGCAAAAATAATGGCCCCTCAAAGATGTCCACATCCTCATCCCTGGAGCTCCCGAATATGATACTTTACATGGCTTAAGGAATTATGCAGATGTGATTACGGACCTTGATATGGAGATTATCCTGGATTATCCAGGTGGGTCTAACAAAATCACAAGAAGCTGATGATGGAAGAGGGAGCCAGAAGAATCAGGAGAGAAGACTGAGATGGTAGAAGCACAGTCAGAATGATGTAATTGCTCGCTAGAAGGAAGTTATGAGCAGGCATGGAATGCAGGCAGCCTCTAGAAGATGGAAAGGGTAAGGAAACCAATTCTCCCCTAGAGCCTCCAAAAGAACACTACCCTGCAGACACCTTGAATTTAGCCCATTTCAGACTAGTGAATTCAAGAACTGTAAGATCATCAATTTGTCTTGTTTTTAGCCACTAAGTTTGTGGTCCTTTGGGACAGCGGCTACAGGAAACTAACGCAGTGCCTGCAGGCTGGACCTGGGGGGCAGAGGCTTGACGCCAGACAGCTGCTACTAGAAAGACTAGGGCTGAGAGCAGCTCTGGCAGGATTCCCCACTTCTCTCTGCCCCTGGAACTGCAAGTTAGGTGCCCCAAAAGCAGCCTCTGGGGAAGCCCCAGTGCTGTTTTACTCTCCCTTATCTGCCTTCCTGCCTGTCTCCTCTCAATTTTTTTCAGTTCTAGTAACTCTACTACTTTGCTATGTGGCCTTGAGCAGATCCCTTGCTTTTGCAGGACATAGATTTCTCTATATGTAAAAGGAAAGCAGGGACGGGGTAGGAGACCCTCAGGGCCTTTCCAGGCCTGACACTGTGAGTCAGCATTTCCAGGATGTGAGGGGCCCTCAGAGAACTCTCTGATGATGCCATTGAACCGCCCTCCAACCTCAAACCTTCAGAGAGTCCTCACCAGAGTCTTTCCTGCTGCCACAAACAATACACTTGTGCCCAAACACTGACCTCAGTTAAAAGAGAGGGGGAACAATGTTTTATTGACTTGGCACCTATGAACGAGTGGCTATAGGCCTCCGCTGTTCTTTACTTTTGCAAAGTGGAGGCTTTGTGGTGGGGGCAGCATAATTCAGAGATGCTGGTTCCAGCTGCAGGGAGGGGCCCCGTCCCTGCTGTGGCCCCTCCAGTCCCCTTGTCCAGCCGAGCACCATCTGAGTCTGGGCCCTCACAGAGCAGGCTAGGGCAATGACCCAGGTTCCTCTACAGCCCCAGGCAGGTTAAGGTAAAAGCTGCAGGCCTTCCTGCCTTCCCTCTTCTTAGGGATCCCAAGATAGGTGGGGGGAAGGGAGAAACCCCATTTTCAGAGAGCCCCTGAACCTCCTGGACTGGGTTCCAGGAAGGCAGAATATGGGTGCCATAACTGGAGCCCCACCAAAAAGGAGAGTTAGAAGTCATTCCCTACCCTCAGTTTTCTGTTTTGGCCGAGCAGGAAGTGGGGCCTTTCATTGAATTGGGCCCACAACAATTGATAACAGGTGAGATCACACAGTAAGTTGATGGGATAGAGCCAGGCTGCACCATGCATGGCCACACCATCAGGCCAGGCTCTCTTCCAGGCAAGGGGAAGGAAGGGCTAAATGAACTGCAGCTGACACAGGAGGAAGGCTTCCTGGAGGCAGAGGGGCAGGCCACAGGACGAAAAAGTGGTCTGCAGAGTGGGCTGGGTCACAACAGCCGGCACAGGACACTGGCATCCTCGCTGTGGTCACAGTTGTGGGCATCCCAGCGGATATGAGAGCAGAGCAGAAGGGTACTCTCATCTCCACGGCACTTGACATTGTCCAGAAGGATAGGACCTCGACCTGGGCCAAAGTGGGCCTCTCCAGGAGCTGCCAGAGCCTGGCCACAGCCCAGTTGGTGGCACAGGACCCTGGCTGCCCTCAGGTCCCAGGCATCATCACAAACAGTGCCCCACCGCTGTCCTAGGAAGAGCTCTACGCGCCCCTCACATCGGTGGGCTCCATTTGCCAGACGTAAGTGTCCTGTAGGGGGACAAGGCTGAGATTTGGAAGGTGCTGGCCCATGCCAGGACACTCCCAATCAAGGCCAGACAAATGAGATTTAAATAGAATGCACATCAATACAGACCCAGTCTCCAAATGAAAGAACATGTACGAGCCTTTGTGGGGTGCTCCGAGCATGTTGGGTTCTATGCCTGTTCTCTCCTTGGTCCTCTGTTTATAATCCCAGTACCTCAGCCCCAGGGCTACTCTCTGAAGACTGTGATTGTATCCTTTGAAGTCATCATTGCCTCCCCTCACCCCCTGGACTCCTCTGGCCAAAGAGTGAATTCTTTCATTTCTCTCCTCAGGAAAGGAGCCCTATCCCCTCATTTTGGTTCCATTTCTAGAAATTTCTAGACTCCTTTAGCTTAAAACCCACCTTCCTCTTTCTGGACATCATACCTCTATTAATTAGATTTGAGACTAGCACAAAAGGACAAAGATTCCAGGGCATGGTACAAATTTGCCAAACCACATAAACCCAGGGTGTGACCTCCCCTGATTTTGGTCCTTCCTATCCTGATGCCTCTACCTCCCTCTTAGGGGTTGTGGGCACCTACCGTCTCTGGGCCGAGGAGTGGGAACTCGGGTTGTTTCAGAACCATCGTGCTGGACTTGCAGTCCTAGCTCCTCTGGGCCTGGATCAGCAAGGACAAAGAAAAAGAGGTGGCTGTAACATTGAGGAACATATTTTGTGAGGTCAGGTCACCCTTCCGGGCTTTCCTTGCAAGGGAAGCCTGATTTAGGGATAAAGGACTTCACAGGACCCAGAAGGAGAACTGCTCCTTGCCCCTCGGATCAAAAATGGTGACTGTGTTTCTTTCACCCTGAGGCCCAAAGCAGAATCTTTTGTAGCCTACCCTTTGTGGTAAAGGTTACTAGGCCCAGGGCACCGAACCAGGGGCAAGATATCAATTCCCACACCAAGCAATGACTAGAAGCATTTTAAAATGTGTAAGACTGCAAACACTCCTTTCCATGTATTCCTTCCACAGCTCCCAAAAGCTGATCAACTCTTCGATTATCAGAATTTTGCGGTCCTTAACTCAGCAGAGCAATAGCGCCCCGGCCCCGCCCTTCACAGACTTTCAGAATTTATCCCTGGCCTCTCGTCTTTCACCTCCTGCCCCGCCCTTCACTGCTGCAAGACAAGCAACCTCCCCAGGCCCCGCCCCACACCTTCAATGCAGAGGGCGCACCCTTCCTGCCCCGCCCAAGCCGCTCAGCGGCTGGGTGCGTCGATGGGCGGGCTCAGCCTCCCTGAGCAGGGCGCATCCTCTTCGGCCCCGCCCACGTTGCAGAGCCGCAGAGTGTCCTACGCACAGCCCCTCCCATTACTCGACAGATTCCACCCCGCCCTTGCCGCAGTGCGTGACTACGTGCGGCCTCGCCACTTTCTCAGATCCTGCCTTGCCCCGCCCATGGCTCCGTACGTACCTGCGCATGCACACGCTACGGAGGGGGCCTACGTGCATGCGGTCCCGCTCTTTTCTCAGAACCCGCTTTACCCGGTCCGCACCGAGGTACGAGCCTGCATGCGGCCCCGCCCTTGGAGTGCTTTCCGGGCCGCGCGGTAGTTTTTCCCCTGTGCCTGCTCGGGTGGCGACCTTACCTGAGCAGAGCGCTCCCGCATCCTCGTGGTGGCCGCAGTTGTGCTGACCCCAACCCAGGTGGAAGCAGTCGCTCAGGCGGGCTTCTGTGCCGGCGCAGCCCACGTTGTCCAGCAGCACGGGGCCGCGGCCGTAGCCGAAGTGTCCGAGGCCCGTGGCACCCAGCGCAGGCCCGCATCCCGCTTCGCGGCAGGCCACGCGCGCATCCGCGAAATCCCAGTCATCGTCGCACACGGTGCCCCAGCCCCCGGCGTACATAACCTCCACACGGCCGCGGCACGGCCCCGGGCCGCCCACCAGCCGCAGCCGCCCGCCTGCAGGGCGCACAGGCCCGCGGCTAGAGGGGCTGGGCTGGAGCCACCTGCTCCCGGGCAGTGCCCCGGCTCCACCCTCCACCCACCATGGAATCCCTGCTCTGCCACTTACTTTTTTTCCCCGCTGCCCAGGAGGCTGTGGTAAAGAGTGCTGTCTCTCTGGAAGAGAAGGCACCAAGTCTTGTAGCTGTGGAGACAGGGAGCCTAGATAGAGCATTTGAAGGGGACGAGGAGGCCTTGGCCTACAGCAGGCACCAGGTCTCCTGAGATCTCCCAACTGCACCACACATGTACCCCACATGCAGCCTCAACTCTGGAGTCACCATGTTGATTGGTTGTGGGGTCCTCAGTCAGGAAACTTGATTGGAATGAACCAAACCCTATTTCCAGACATTATCCTAATTTCAATCCCAATGATCATTTCAGTGTTAATTTCCCAGTGTACTTCCATCCTTCATTCTGCCTCCATCCGAACCCTCTCGCAAGGCCTCTCAATTCCCAACCTCAGCACCAACCCAAATTTCACTTCAGAGCTTTGAAGAAACCTCTTACTACCTCTGCCCACCTTACTGAACTTTTCAGAGATCTGGATTTCATCCTTGCTCTTCTGTTCCCATCTCTACAATCTAGCCAAAAGCTCTGGCCTCCTAGTCAGGGCTCTCTTCCTATGGGTCCAAACAGCCTTCTCAGTTCCCAGGCCTACCCATCTTGCCCCTACCATTCTAGCCTGGAAGCTAGCAGGCTCAGGCTGGGCTCCTTACCCTCTGGTTCTGTGTGCCAGGCCCAGTCCTCTCTTGTGGCAGAGGGTGGCAGTGCTGGGAGAGTCGGAGGGCCTAGAACTAGAGCAGGAAAGAAGGGAGCTGGGTCAACGGCCAAGGTTCTGCTTCCTGGTCAGCCTTGGGCTCTTAGGAGGATAGAAGGGTTTCTCTGAAGACAACAGATTTTATTTCTAGAGCTGGGGGCTTAGCCCCAACTGAGGTGCAGGAGGTTTGACAATGGTTTTAATTCACATATTGTACAGGTGTAAAAATCACAGTTTAAACAGGACTTTCACAGACATGCTTTCATTTCTCTCCAAAGTTCTCAGAAATCCAATGTGTGTCCAAAATGGGGAGATAGAGGTCTTGTCCACAGGGAAGGGCCATGCAGTCCTGAAGGGCTTGCAGAACGAGACTCATTATTCCCATCCTACAGATAAAAAAAGGACTAGAGAGGGCAAGGGGCATGCCCGAGACCATGTAGCAAAGTTAGCTGTGACTTTGTCTCACTGCGTGGCCATGGGTATGGCTCTGCCTCACTGGGCCCCAACTTTACCATCTATAAACTGGAAATGATGGCCCCTGGTTTGCTGTGAGGCATGGGCAAGCATTTTATTGTAGAGTGGAATCCATCTGTGAAGTGCCATTATTGGCCCTACTATTTGCATTTGCTCAGAAAATCTCACAAAATGGAGAGGGGCAAGGTGGGGGAAATATTATAAGAGCATCAGGATTAAAGAGGGCTGTGCCAGCTACTCTTGGGGACATACTTGGGCTACAATGGAGTGTTTCTGAGGTAATTTTGGAGTTCTATTACTTTGAAGTATTCCATGAAGAGTATTTAAACCATGCTCGAAAATTCCGCAGGCATTCTTGGGGTACAGCTATAATTCTGAAGTATTGATAGAGCAACACTCTAGTATTACACAGCTGTGAAGCTCACCAAAGAGAGTACTGGGGTTTTCTGAGGCACCTCTAGAACTGTACTGAGATACTGAAAGTAATTTCAGGGCCTTCCTGCATTACTCGGAAACCTCTAGGCAGCCGCGAACACCCTCCCGGCCCAAACCCCACTCAGTCTCCTCCAGCGTCTAGACATAGCTTGGTCCCTCCCACCGGCCCCGCCCCGCTTCCGGAGCTGCACCTGCGCATAGTACTCCTGCGTCCTCATGGTGTCCGCAGTTGTGCACGCCCCAGCCCAGGCTCAGGCAGGCGGCCAGGCGGGGCTCACTGCCTTCACAGTGCACGTTGTCCAGCATGATGTGTCCCGTGCCATAGCCGAAGAAGGCGTTAGTGGTGGCGGCCAGGGCCTCCCCGCAGCCCAGCTGGCGGCAGACCACAGTGGCGTCTGGCAGCCCCCAGTCATCGTCGCACACAGTGCCCCACAGGCCGCTGTGCAGGATCTCCACTCGGCCCTGACACAGGCCCGCGCCCCCCACCAGGCGCACACTGCCCTCACCTGGTGAGAACGGGGGGGGGGGGGGGGGGCGGGGGGGAAGGGGAGGGGTCAAGGAGCAAATCCCACAGGGCTCTGCCCCCCATCCCCTCCTAATCCAATGCACTTACACAATGCCCTAGGCCTGCCCCGTGGCCACAGTGCAGGACAGCAGCAGGACCTAAAATCCTGGAGGAGCTACCAACTCACCCCCAAGGCATTGTCTCCTCACAGTCCTGATTGGGAGTGGTTTGTGGGCTCAGAGGACAGATTGCCTTTGACCGTGTCACTTCCTTCCTAAAAGCAACCCTCCCTGCTCTTGTCCACACTCTCCAAAGTGACTAGGTTGTGACCTCATTTAAGACGGCAGTGAAAGCCTCCTCACCTTCCCAGGTGAAACACCAAGAACTCTTCTTCCAGCAAGCCCTGCCGTTTCTCTCTGATGGATTGGACCCTCTTCCTCTTCTGGACTTCCTGGCCTTTTTATCTGTTCCTTTTTTGGGTTACTTTTCATTTTCTTGTTCTACATTATTATCAGCATTGTTGTACATTTCTGACATTCCCATTAGATTAAGATGCAGTGCTCACCCCTCTCACTTTCTCCAACCTTGTGCTGATTGTATTTAATCATTCCTCAGGAATGAATCCTCTTTCCCTATCCAGGTGAGCTGCTTGAGGGGTTACCGGGGGAGTGTTAGGGAGGGGGCAATGACCAAACTCAACCATCGGTAATCCCTCTCTTTCTGTCTAGGGTGGGTATCAGAGACAGTTCCCAGGTGGGCTCGGAGATTGCCCTTACTTACCATTCCCATTCCTGGGAGTTGTAGGGGGCACCGTACTGGTTAACACTTTCTTCACTGGGGGCTGCGTGGGCAAGAACTCTGGAAAGGAAGGAAGGAGGACAAGTGGATCTTTCTGTTTTTCATCCTCACACTCACAGATATATGAGTGGCAGGGCATGGATCTCTAAGGCACCTGCTCCCAGGGTCTCTGGCCACACAGAGGATCAAAGCCAGGGGGATGAGAGGTGAAAGAGCCCTCTGCATCCAGAAAACAGTAGTTCCAGAGGAATTCTTTTAGTTCTTAAAGCAGCACCACATCACTTGAGAAAAGTAAATTTTCAGGCCCCACCCCAGACCTGCAGAATCAGAAACTCTGGGAGGGGGCCACAACCTGAGCCTTCTGGGGATTTTCTTGAAAATTAAAACTACTGCTGTCAAGATCAAAGCCTCTCAGAGATTTCTGCTGCAACTCTATGCTAAGTGGGCCTATAGCCAGTGTTGACCCCAATCATCTGGTCTTAAAACTGAGAAGCAGCAAAACCCTACATGGAAGAAGTAATGCTGGGTTTTGACCAAGGCCACACAATGAGCCGGAAGCACCAGTAGGGCCCAGGGCTTCTGACAGCCAGCCTGGGGCTCTACCCTAGCACCATGCAATGCAGCCACTGTCTTGGCCTCCTACGGGGAACAGTGCCACTGCTGGGAAGTCCCTTCATTTGTCTAACCTTCAGCTCTGCTGCCTGACACAGTCGGTCTGCCCTCCTAGGTCACAGGGCTCTGCTCACCATCACACAGGACAGCCACATCCTCATAGTGAAAGCAGTTGTGGACTCCCCAGCCTCGGCTGCCGCATTCGCTCAGAGCAGCTTCCTGCCCGCGGCAGTCCACGTTGTCCAGCAGGATGGGGCCTCGGCCCTGGCCAAAGGCAAGGGGCCGCGGCACAGGCAGCGCCAGGCCGCAGCCCAGCTGACGACATACCACATTGGCGTCTACCACGTCCCAGTCATCGTCACAGACGCTGCCCCAGGAGCCACCGTGCTGGACCTCCAGGCGACCCCGGCAGCGGCTCGGACCCCCCACCAGCCTCAGTTCTGTGGAGAGGGTTGAGCTGGCACCAGGGGCATCCCTGGGTCCAACCTACAGGATGCCCACCTTTGCATGAAGTTATGGGAGGCTTGGGAACAGTCCCTTCTAGGTCTTATTTCTCCCTTTCTATAAAACGGGGAGCCTGGCACAATCCCTTTTGGGGCATCTAAAATAATGGAGGTCTTCTCTCTGAGCATCTGAGTACCTGGGGTCAGGACAGGGGTTGGGGAGGAAGGAGCAGGGGCACCTACCTGGAAAGGGCAGTGGGGTGGGCTGTAGGGCACTGGCTGAAACAGAGTGAGGACAGCATTGGCCCCTCTCCCCCCTCCCTTTGCTGCCTGGCCCTGGGAACACAGTCTCCCCTCCCACCACAGTCCTTACCATCACCTCCCTCCTCTTCGCTGCCCTTGCTTTGCCAAAGTCTCATCTTCTCTTTCCCTGACTGTCCCAGTTGGTCTCCTTGCTTCACACCTCTCCTATTGGTCTATGGGCCACGCCAGAGAGATCTGCCTAAGACAGGTTGGTTTGTCCCACTCTACTGCTCAATTTCTCAAAGAGTCTCCACTTCTTAAGAGGAGTCCCAGCCCCTGAACTTTCTAATAAAGCCTTCTAGTATGTCCTGACCAGCCTCACCTTACTTCTTTATATGCCATCAATCTTGTTTGCAGAACTTTAACCATGCAGTCTCCTCTGCTTGAACAGTTCTGGTCAGTCCTGCTTGTTGTTACAGCCCTTTAGAGCCTTCGAGACCCAGCTTGGAGCCCCCTCCTCCATAAAGCCTTCCTGAGGCCCTCAGCTACAAGTGCTCTCTACTCCCTCTGAATCCCTGGGCACCATATACATGCCCCTTTCCGGACCATCTGCCTGGTGGTGTGGCCATGCCTCTCTCATCTTGGTGTCTCCCAGAGCCCTCTGCCCAGAGCCTGTTACTTAGCAGATGCTCAGTAACTCTGCCTTAAGTGTGCAAACTAGTGTTGGGATTCATTATGATTTTTCCCAAAAGCTTTACCTAGATGAGTCCTTCTGCTTCGGCTCTCATGTATGTACATGCCAGGCATTGTGCTCATTGCTTTATGTGGCCTGGTACACTTAATCATTAGGACAACTTATAAGATAGGTAGGACTTTGCAGATGGGGAAACTTCAGGTTTGGTGAGGTTAGGCAACTTGCTCAAGGTCACACAACAAAGGGTAGAACTGGTGTTCCAACCGAAATAGCCACATTCTTCTTCACCATACAATTCTGAGTATAAGTGGCCTGGGAGGCTGGGAGGAAACAAGGAAACTGGCCTAGCATGGGAAATTGAAAACTCTGCAGTGGCCCACTTGTGCACAGAGTATTGTTTAGACACTTTCACATACATCGTCTCAGAGAATCCTTACAACAATTCTCTGAGACATGTACTAAGGTACCCATTTTACAGATGAAGAAACTGAGACTTGGTTTCTTCTTTTTTAAGTTACGATATTCCCTAGGCCATTTGATTCCATCTATTCTATCAGCTGCATTTCCAACAGCCATCGGTAAGCCCACCCCCTTTCTCTCCTTCCCTATTTCTGACGTCCCTTAACTGCCCATACTCTGTGTACATTCATCCCTCACCCCTAGCCCTGAGCCCTCCCTTTCCCCAACTCAGATCCTTAGCTCTCATCAACCCTGGACAAATGTCAGAGCTGGAAAGAATGTTGGAAACCACCTCACTTACAAACCACCTCCCACCATAATTTTAGAGCTGGGAAAATAGAACCAGAAAGGGAAATCGTTGGGGGTTAGGAGGACAGCACTCACCCAGTGGCAAGAGGAGGAGGAAGGATAGGGCTGGGGGGATGGGTGCAAGGGCTGTACTCCTGTCTCCGGGCCTCCACCCCCTGCTCTGATCGGGTTGGGGACCAATTCGAATTTCCGCTTCCTTGTGTGTCCAGCCAGTCAGTGGCCTTTCTGATGGTTCCATCATGGAGCTGGTGGAGAAGTCAGAGCAGGAACATCTGGAATGAAAAACCTCAAGTCACTTCTTTGAGCTGGAAGGGACCAGTGAGAGCTTCAGGGGAGAGTGACATTTCCACTTGGGTTTGGCATTCTGAGGGGAGGCAGCAGGAGCTGTAACAGCTGGGAGATGAGAAGGACGGGAGCACAGATGGCAGCTAATGAGGCGTCAGGTCAGGCTGGAGCAGAGAGCGTGGGGAAGCGAATGGAGGGAGAAGAGGTTGGAGGGTTGTCTGGGCCCAAACCCAGACAGGCCACGCAGCTGCACCCAGGGTTGAGTTTATCCTCCAGGGCAGCGCACCCCAAAGAGTGGTGCTGGTGCCGCTGGCGCAACCCACGTACACTTAGAGGGAGATAGATGAGCATTTATCATTTTATTGTCATTGCTTTTTTTCTTCAAAGCCTTCTATGTATGGCAAAGAATCCTGGTTTTCCACTTATTAGAACAATATAAAATTCCTCTTTAGAGTTAATTTAAATAAGAAGAAATGGGTCATTTTAAAGAAAAAACATCAAGGAAATATAGTTCCCATGACTCACAAAGATGCAAAGATGACTGGCTGGGAGAGAAAATGCCATTTGGGATGCTCTGCCTTTTTGGGATGGGGAGCCCTTGATGATTTTTTTTTTAAATTTTGGATTGAGATATACAAATAAAAAAGTACTTACATCTTAAGTGTAGAACTCACTGAACATTCACACTGTGTAACCAGCATCCCAGAAGTACCCTCTTGCCCCCTTTCCTCACAGACTAAATGGGGCAGGGGGAGTTGGCTGGCTTAGGGGATGGTTCTGTTTTGGATGTATTGATATTGCCGGGACATGGATGCCCCTCGCAGCACCCCCACCCCGTTTCTCTCTGGCTGTGCCTTGGCCCTGGCATACAAAGAGTCTGGCTGGGGAGAGGGTGAAAACCTATCTGGATGTGGGCATGGGGTTTTCAATACCCCATTCATGGGGCCTAGGACAGCCCCCAGTGGAATAATCAGCTTTTGTCCTCCCTTTGCCTGGCCTGGAGACAGCTGGGAGATGGGAGTTGAGAGATGTGAGGAGGCGGAGCCACTTCCAACCTTTGCAGAGGGGATCCCTAGTGATCTGGGCCTAATCCCCGCCCCCTTCTCCTGAGCCTCAGGCCACCAAACTCTCAGGCTGCTGGGATGCTGGCCCACAGGTCAGGTCAGCTCTTACTATGTGAGTAAGGGACACACAGCTTCCAGGGAACCTGGCTGGGGGTCTTTAAACCTCCCCACTGTATCTCCTGCCATGCCAGCCCAGGGTGAGGGAGAAGACCTTGATCCTGGTCCCTCCTGACCGCAAGTCCCAGCTGACCCAGGAGCTCCCAGTGAGCCTCTTGGAACCTGCCTACCTCCAGCTCCAGACTTGGTCCAAAGCCTGCTCCTGCCTCACTCCCTGGGAACCTTGGTCAAAGCAAGGCTAAACTGTTCCTTGCCCTCTTTGAACTTGGCTTTCTAAAACATTCCTGCTCCCTCCCCACCCTTCATTAGTGTGTCTTTTGCCCTGAACTGTCCCTTTAAGTGTAAGGCAGGCAAGCATAACACAATGGTTAGAACCATCAGCTCCACCAACTGCTAACTGTATGACCTCACCTTGCTAAGTAGGCCTCACTGTCTTCATCTATAAAGTGGGGTTAATAATACACTTACCTCTTATAGTTGTTGCTAGGTTAAATAAGCCAAAGTTTATAAAAGGTTTAGCCTAGTGCCTGACCCACCATTAGTATAGTAGCTATTATTACTGTTACTATCTCCCCATCTAGACTGTGAGCCCTTCATGGCAGGGACCAGATCTTATTCAATAGTAGCATCTGGCCCAAGGTGGGCACTCAGGAAATGTTTACTGAATGATTGGATGAAGTTTAGTGCCGCAGAATCATGGAATGAAGCAGTCGGAAGGGGCCTGGGAGATCATTAAAGACAACTTCACATCTGACCAGCGGAAAACTCATATCACACAGAGACACACACACACCGGCAAAAGTGAAGGATTCATACCTGGGGGAACGTTCTGGGCTCTTTCTGTCCCTTCTTCAACAGTCAATCCAAGGTCAAATCACTTTTTCTCCCCCCAGAAGTTTAGGAGGGGGTAGGATCCCCCAAATGCAAATCAACACAGATCTTCCTTCTTTTTTTCCCCAAACCTGGAAGGTGAGCAGAGGCAAAATCTCTGTCCATGGAGATGGCTGGTGGCCCCAGCCTGTCCCCACCCGACCTTAGGGGCAGAGGAGTGCAAAGGGAGAGTGGAGGCAGCCCGCACAGCCTGGAGCAGCCCCAGAGAAAGGGCTCCCAGGCAGAGGAGGAGCTATAAGTGGGGGGGCAGCTTGGACTCTCAGGGCCAGGCAGCCCCTCCTCCCCCTTCCGCCCCCCTCTACTCCAGGACTCAGGTTTCAGAAAGGCCTGGATAGGTCTCCACCCCTCTGCAGGGCAGCCAAGCATCCCTGATCTCCTGTGATGACCCTGATTCAACCCCTTAGTCTTGTTTCCTGGGGAGTCCCTTTGACCAAGCCCTGACCCACATCCCTCCCGGGGGTTTGGAAACTAGGTCACAGGAGCCAGACTGGAGGGCTTCCCATGTAGGTGGGGGCTCTGGTTTTGCTAATGATTTTGCCTTGTTGTGGTTCCTCTTGAATTCTGGTACCTTTTGGGCTTTGGTAGTTATAGGTGACAGGAAGTGGTAGGTGACTTATTCTATAGTTTATTGCTTTAATAAAATTCTATGCTGGAATTCTGTAGCTTCTGGCTGGAACCACAGAGCTAGAGACCCCACAAGGCAGTTCCCAAACCTTCCCATATATCCCATCACCCACAGGGGCACTTTAAAATATATATGTAGATTATCGTCTCTACCACTACTGCCCCAGAGATTCTGATCCAGCAGTTCAGGGATGGATTCCCCTAAGATTGTATTTCTGAAAAGCCCCTAAGGCTCAAACATGTTTGGAGACCAGAGGTTTGGCTGATTATAGTGCAGGTGGGAAGACCGAGGCCAAGAGCTGAAAATGGAGACACAGCCCATGCACCTCGCAGGACAGCTTCCTGTCTCTCAGACCTCATCTTGCTTCCCACTTTTCAGAAACTCTCTGAGGGGAGGTCTGCCATCATCCCGCTCCCACCCTTCCTTTCCTCCTGCCTCTCCCTTCCTCCTCCGGCCTGAGCATCCACTCCCCCTCAGTCCAGACCCCATCTCCTTCTGCCTTCTCAGGGACCGCCCTCTCTCCATCTGGCTGTCTTTTCTCTTTCCTAGGCAGCTGCTCTTTCCCAACCGGATCCTTTGCTTTGAGCTTCTAAGCATACTCTACTTTTATCATTAAAAGCAAACAACAGAATACCCTCTCAGCCTGTGTCGGTTGGGTGCTCAGGGTAGAAATGGCGAGGTGCTGGTATCCCTGTCACGCTCTGTCACTGGCTGGGAGATGACCGGGAAGGGTGTGGCCTTGGCTCAAAAGCTGCAGTACATCAGGATGGTGTTAGAGTGGAGGCTGTCAGCTGACTGAATTCCTCACAGCTCATCAGCAAGTTCTTTCACCCGGGCAGGTCTGAGCAGCCGTGTCTGCAAGGCTGCCGCAGGACTCCACACCCCCTCCTCCTGCCAGTGCCCACCTCTCTCCTCTCCGTCACGGCCAAGCTTCTCTGAAGAGCAGTCTGCGAACGCATCTCCATTGCCTTACCTCCCACTCCCTGTTCAGCTTGCTCCAGTCTGCCTTCTGTCCTCAACACTCAACTGAGGCAACTCTTCCTAAGGTTGCCAGTGACCTTCGTGTCATGAGATTCAAGGAACAATTTTCATTCCTTGTTTTAGTTAGAATATGAGCTCTGATTATGGTAGCAGAAAGAATTTGTAGTCATCAGTTTCTTTCTGCGATACCTGCAAAACAAACAACCCCTAAACTGCAGTGGTTTAAAGCAGTGATTTTTATTGATGTGCCGCAAGAATTTT